ACCAAAAAAGTGACGTGAAGTACTGAATATTTACTTGTCTGAAGAGCTAGGGCTGTGATATTGATTCTAACAAGGAATTCGTTTTCTTCCACAGATGGCAAGCTACCCGTCAAACGATCAAAGATAGATAACACCCTCGCTCCTACCAATCGCATAATTTGAGGAGGAAAATTCTCGTGCGCCATCAAATATTTGAGAACTTTTGATGACGGTGAATTTTGTCTGCAGGAAAGTTTAAAGGCAAAAACGATGCCAATTATTAAATAAAAAAAATATTATTTAAATATTGATTTCATGACTTGAGAGCCAAATAGATAAATACCCTTTAAAGTAAATATCATCGCATAGCCATTGAATGACACCAATTAATGCATATGATGTATGGGGATTCAAGAAAGCTTCTAAAATTGGTAGTGTCTCGACACTGGAATCATTCCGTGTTGTCTTAAGCATCTTCTTAAATATTGTAGGCGCCAACTCGATCAATATCCGAGGATTTGTCTCCCTAAAAAATAACGTGAATTTCGAGGGTTGATGACATGATTTACGTAGTAACTAACCTCCTGTCCAAAGTGACAAACGATCAAACCTGATAGTCTGATCAGAAATATTTTTATACGTCAATATCTCATCGACCCAATGTTCTACAGTCGTGTGTTTTTCTACATCCAACATTTCGGGTTCACATGAAACCGACGATTGAAGAATCCATGTATGACAGAATCCTTTCTCGTCGCGTAATACATCTTTAAGATTTTTGTGAAACTGTTATGAAAAGCGTGTCATCATCATTCAGTGGTAAATAAGAGGAATGCATAATTTAGTTAAAAATGCATTTATATTACCTCGTAGCGATCCACAACACTGATCAACAATAAAAATATTGTTCCAAAATTTTCATAGTCCAGGAGATCTGATTCTAATTATAAAAATTTGAGGATTAGATCTTAGTTGAACGCTATGATTTCAAGATGTCACTAACAATTCTTCCCACCAAGAC